GGTTTTCCGTGTAGTGCTTTATAGAATGTTTGTTATCTTTTATGCATTTTTCTTTTGGCCGTATTTTATTATAAAAATAAAAAGATGTGGCATAACTACCAATGAGACAACTCTCAACCAGAGACCTAAAGAAATAGAAGTTTACAACCATAGGTCACCGTACGGCTTTCAACAATGAGCAAAAACCATATCGCATAGTCAGCCCCAAAAGACCCGTAAATGACAAATGGCATTACCTGTTTTTCTTCTACTGAAGTTTTTGTTTTTGTATCCCATTTGTTGTCTGCATCTTCTTTTTTAAACGTAGGGAAATTCTACTGAGCTTTAAATCTGTTCCTAGCCTCTCTTTCACGCTTTTAATTGATGCGATATTGATAGATCTGTATGGTATTCTATGAGACATAAATATGTTTAAGACATTATAATACCCTTTTATAAAAACAAACCTTCGACTCCAATCTGAATTGACCAAGATAATTTGTTTTCCTGCCGAAGGTCGTTGGGATCTCGAGGCTTCATACTCTTTTAAAATAGAGTCAGTTTATAATACTATTTGAAACATGCACCTATAGACAATGTATGCACATATCGATAGACACAGTTCATTACAATACTATTGATTTATCATTATATAAAAGATTAGTTTTATATTTCAATTAAATCGTTATTTCTTAACGTTAAGTTTTGTGTCAGTGGTGGGCTTGATGAGGGTCTGGATGGGGTTTACAGAAAAAAGCATAATAAGCAAAGACTAATGAAAGCTGAGCCGAACAGATAAAGAATACGAATAAAAAGAAAAAAATACCAAAGCTATACATAAGAGAGAAACATAGGATTGCTTAGTTTATGCAGTATTGAGAATAGAGAACAAGAATGATAAAGAACAGAGACAAATGACCTAAATTATCACAGAATACAGAAATGAGATCCTCTATTATGACAGCTAAAACGTTAATACCCATTTTTGGATTTTGAGTGCTCAACCCTATTCTAATCTTGGACACACTTTTTATTTAACAATGTTTTATAGTTATATTTGAGAATACATGTTTAACGGATGGTTAGATGAAATAAACATCCTTTACATTTCTTCTCATTTTGAGCAATTGGAATTATTTAAATATCTTTTTTCTTTCTAACAGAAGTAATGGCGGAAGCTATGATAGTCAGTAAAAGGACAATTTCTCCATATCCAACACTACCAGAAATTGAACATACCAGAAATGTATTTGTGACCCGTTTTATTGCCAGATTTGTCCAGAAACATCGGAAGTATACAAAACTGCTTCAGGAAAATGGAGCATCACTCCCGGAAGCGTTTAGTAACTGTTCAGTTAATTTTTGTGCAATTTTTGAAGACGAAGTTGACATGATTGTTAGTGAAAAAAAAATAAAATAAAAAACGCCTGTCGAATGAAAGGTGCCTATAGTTTAAAAGGACTTTTCCGTCAAATTTATCAGATTGTTTGTCGTGCAAGGGCATCACGAATAGAGAGTAAACTACTAGACATTCTTAATCATGATTTAATGGAAACATTGGGAGACATTGCGTCCCGAGTTAGGGTTTGCGTATGAATACCAAATTGTCATGTTGAAATCGGAAGCGGAAGTACGTCTGCTCGCAGACCATGCTGTTAGTTGTACTATGAACTATTTGAAACAGTCTTATGCAACACTTAATAGATGCCACATTTTGGAAGCATTCACAGATGTTCCACCGAAGAAAATTTTAAGTCGTGCTGAAAAAGTTCTAACACGAATTCAAAAGACGAACAATGTAAAAGGAACAAAGACTCAAAAATGGCGCCTCTCTGAAATTTTCAAACAACCAGGTCTTCGAATACCCGATTCTGACGGGATAGTTTATAAATTTTTAGGATGCTTTACTCCTTATGGCAGTTTATGCAGACCAGATAAATATGGATTTCGTGGTCCACTCCACGTAAGGGACGAGAAAACATCAGACTATGCTCTTCTGTACAACGATCAAGTGTCATGCAATAGCGTCCATCGTAGAGAAATAGAACGCGATAATACAGATATTCACCAAAATTATCAACCAATTCAACTTTGTTCACACGTAAGTTAAAGTAATAAGATGAACAAAGAAAACGTCGAATGCAAACGAGACCCAAAGTGTACAGCAAATAAACAGAATACAACTCAATCATCTGATTGTTGTCCCGTCTATGACACTACCTGTGTTGATATAAAAGATATAAGTATAATCCAGAATAGCGAAACTGTTACTTCCGAACAAACATCGATGATAAACCGACACAGCTCTATCAATAACATTAACAATGTTTCGCTTATAGACACAACGAATTCGGTCGATTATATCGATGACACAGCTAGCGCTGATAAAGTCATAATCGAAAGAAACGGGAATGCACCCACTCCGAAGCTCCTTTACAGCGACATTGACAACGACAATGTGGTTACTTCTTCAAAAGATGGCGGCCCAAATGATTCCGAAATTTTCGTCGAGTCTAACCATTGTTCACACCAAAGATTAACTGGTACAAATAGTGATGTAGAAAACAGCAATATAGTCAACAATAGTGACGGCCAAAAGTCACCATTAAAAACTAATTATTATGATGACATACTAGTAACTGGATAGTTATTTTAAGTTACATTCAGCTTAAACTACAAGAAATTTAGCGAACCAAATACAGTGTGCCAGAGATTGTGTAGTACTATTATACCAACTATTTTATCTTGTGGATATTAAAAATATCCAAATTAAAGTTGTCATCAACATTTAACATAATTTGGTTTATACCTATTTTATTTGCTCAAAGATACACATAGGATCGGAGACGAGTTTTACGAACTTATAAAGTCTTCTCTTTTGTATCTTAAAACAATTACAATAATTATACAACGCATCCACACATGAGTAGATAAGCTTTAATGTATTAGTAAGTTGAACACAGTGTATAAGAACGAAATAAAACAAGTAAAACAGAAATAACTTATAAATGAAATTATGTGGACACGATGTATTTGTTTACTCCTGTCTTATTTGATTATACTGCTAGAAAATCGTTAAGATTTTTTTTATGAATGAATATTCATGAAATATTTCACAGTTTTCATCGTACGTTGCTAGATTTTGGCTACCCTCAATGAGGAACTAGATATTTTCTGTCACTTGAAAACAACAAATATTTCTTAGTAGATCGTTTTCCATCCGTCCATATTGGATGACGAAATATGTTTTTATTGCAATCAAAGAAGAAATGAAATGGATCCTCAGTTTAAAATATGTATTATATTTGATTTACATAGGTCGTTATGTAGACATGGTAAAATGAGACTGAAACAACGAAGCTTAGTTGAAGTTGCGTTAATTTTCCGCGCATACACTCATAAACTGTCTAGGTGCAGTCTATGTTTCGTATGTATTATTCAAAAAGGAGAGTTTGAACTTTGATAGGGTACCTATGATACGTATACAATTGTCAAGTTTTTTCCCTATTCTCTTGTAGACGTAGGGATAAATGAAGAATATGTGAGGAATAGTCTACAGAAGGGGACGATTATGCATTATTGCAATGACAATGTGGATACACAGTTTGGGGGAATTAAGATTAATTATGATGGTATATGGTTGCTGGGAAATGTAAAAAAAAAGGCACCAATTGCTTGATTTTGTACCCTTCCCGATGATTAATTATCCTTCACCTAATTAAGAATGTTAAGATGGTGTTCATGTTGCCTAATCACAGGCACTTAACCTCGAAATGTTTGCTTATCTATATTATGTTAAGTGTTTGTTAAAGGGTTGTGTAGTAAAAAATTTTGAAAGACAAGTGCTTAAGTGTTCAATGTGAAGTGTACCGTGTAGTGTTTTATTTCTAGCATTGTTTTTTCCGTCGCTTTTCGTTTTGGATATTGTTTTCCCCGTTTTACTTTTTATCAACCCTCTTTTCTATTCACCTTTTATTGTGATGGTGTTGTCAGTAATTCTTCGACTAATAGTTCTCCACAAGTATTCTATGGTATCCGCACCCAACAATAACGTGTTGGTATCTTCTCTAAACAATTACCTGTTAAGTATCCGCTCCCAAAAATTACCTTTAGGAATCCTTTCCCAACAATTAAGATGTGTATCCTCTCCAAATAAGTACAATTTAGTATTATCTTACAATAACCCTTGGATATCCTCTTTCAACAATTATCCTTTTGTATCCTCTTCCAATTAGTACCCTTTAGAATCATCTCTAAACAATTACCCTTTGGTATCCTCTCCAAACAATTATCTGTCAGAAGTCTTCTCCAAACAATTACCCTTTGGTGTCCTTCCCAATAAGTACAATTTGGTATCCTTTCATGACAATTACCTCTTGATATCCTCTCGGAACAATTATTCTTTGGTATAGCCTTCTAACAGTTATCCTTTGGTATCGCCTCCCAACAATTATCCTTTGGTATCGCCTCCCAACAATTATCCTTTGGTATCGCCTCCCAACAATTATCCTTTGGTATCGCCTCCCAACAATTATCCTTTGGTATCGTCTCCCAACAATTATCATATGGTATCCTTCCAAACAATTACCCTTTGTTGTCCTCTCCGAACAATTATCCTTTCGTATCCTATTCCAACAATTAGCCTTAGGTATCCTGTACTAACAATGACCGTTTTATATCCTCTCCAAAAAAGAACCTCTTGGTAACCCCTCCATATTGTATAGACATGATAATTGGTATTAGCAAAATATAATTATGCTTAAGACAGGGGGATCATACCAAATAGACACCCAAACGCATAAGCCAAAAATAAGCTGACAACGCCTTGGCAAAAACAGAAGAAAAGGAATTCAATAGTATACAACATACGACCTGGAAAACCATACTAAACTGATCAACACAAACCCTATAAAAGACGGGATTGATCTCTACTGCACTGGACGGAAAAGTAGATTCTGCTCCTCATGTGGCACCTGTTCAAATTAATATATACATAAAAAAAAACGTGAAAAGTACACAAGTCATGATCTGTACATTTTATTTTAACTTCTACACAGATCCCTCGAATGTATAAGATGATTGTACAGATTTTGTGATGTAACAGCAGTTTAGAATCAAGAGACGTGCATCCTGCCATCCCATATAACAGTAGTAGATATTTTAAATCATTATTAAATGATATGAGCAAATCAGCCCTAATACGGATAAATCAGTCTGTGCAATACTGGTGACGTTGTCCTGTCGATATAAATCCGGAGTTAATATTGGTTTTCGGACAGGGCCAATACGGGACGTTCACTTCCGGTTTCAATTTTCTAACACCAAAGCTTACTTAACAGTTAACTTGGGACTTATCGTTATGCATAAAATACATTTGTATTCATATTTTTGAACTTAATATCATAAAAAAAATTAAATGATGTTCAGTGTTTTGTAACGGAAATATTTCTCAGCCTTTTCGAGTACGACTTCCGATTATTTTTACTGTATCATTTCCGATGATCATCAGAACGCAGACGATTCTAGAGGGCAAGAATAGTTAAACTGTCTGATTTATTTTTACCAGCTACTTTATATTTGCTAGATAAAATGAATTGTAATAGCATAAGAAAGAGTACTTGGACGAGAAATCAGAAATTGCATCTGACAATGTTGACAAAAAAATCCATCGTGAAGTTCAGATATGAATTGCTGTATATTCTTCAACTTCAAGGTAAGTTGCTCAGTTTATTTAAAGAATTTTATCAAATCATTTAATAAAAGTGTTATGAACTGGCTGTTTTTGTATTAGCCCTGTTATAGATTCTCGATCAGCTGTATTGGCCCTCGACTCTTCGAGTCTCGGGTCAAATACAGCTAACCCCGAATCTATAACACTATATTACAAACCAATAACGTCAAAGCCTTATGATTAAGAACGTATAAAACCCATCAATACTTGGCGCTTAAATAACATACTTTAGGAAGCACAATAATACATTAGGATGACAACCGCGTTTATAAATTCAGAGTTAAAAAAATAATTTAATATCAGGCTCTTTATGGATAGTTGAGTTCTATGTCTGTTGTTAACGGTCTGTTATGTCAATGTATTGGCCAATCGGGATTCCCACCACTGGAATATATCCCTCTGAAATAGTGAATACATGGAAGGGCTTGCTCGATTCCATTATTCTTGAAATGATCAAAGACATCAAACATTCCAGCCTCGGTATGGTTACCTTTGTTACACGATGATGGAAAGAAAGTTGTCTGGCAAGGATCGCCCTGAAAATGTTATCAGAACAGTATCTATGTTATAGCAGTTGAATTGAAGTAAAATATAAATCTGAAGATGAAACAAAAACAGGACAACATTTTGAACAACAAGTATGGTCAATAGAAAAATAGAAGATATATATGGACAAAAGGGTAATAAAAAGAAGATCAAAATTCACCCAAGTTTAAATGTTGTTAAGATTAATTTCTGAAACATTATTGCTGGAGAGACAAATAGACGGAACCATTAGAAGGTGTCATGTTTCAATTTGTAGGTTATATAATTTTTATGTAGATATCTAACCTTATTGGTGTAGAGTGTGACGAATATTTCCTTTCCGGTATCTAACGCATACTGGTATCCTGCCAATTTAGTCCGGTCAGATATTTGAGGGAACGTGATGTAACCAACCTGAAAAATATAGCATCGATTGATTAATTTTATCGATCTGTGAAACAGATAAAAAAAAAATGGCCACATGATCTCAACATATAAAGATAATTATTAAACACACGTTCTTTTCGTTAATTGCTTGCAATCGTACAGTCAAACTATTAAACAAGTTAACAGGTTGTATAAATGAGTTTACAATGGTCTCGAGAACAGAGAACTGATAAAAGTATTCAAAGTATCTTGTCATATCTTTAAAGTGTGAAATTTAGGTCTAAATCAGATCTTTGATGTCTCTGACAATTTATCTGTCCACAGTTTTTCGTTTTGTTTCTGTTCGTTTGTTTTCTCTTAAGACCTTGTGTTTAAAATATGCAGTTATTGTGTAGCTAGGTTAGATCAAAAGACAGACACAATCGCGTCTATAAAAAGTATTATTTTACCTGGACATCAATACTATCGAAAATGTCAACCATGTGTCTGACTGCGTCTTGTGTTTTCCCGTTGTACGTAATCAGTTTCTCTGTACTACCACAGCGTCCCCAGTGCCAGCTGACGGAGTAATGAGTAAGTAAATGACCATGGACTTGTTTCATGGCTTCCGTTTTAATCATGTTTAGGTTTTGTAAGTACCGTATCTGTTCTGACTGTCCATTGTGACATTTTATTGATGCATATGCTTCATTGTTTACTGCAACTCCATCAAACTTCTCATCTGCAGCTAAATATTTATAGATGTAAATAATAAAGGATTCAGTTAACAATAAAAAAGTCATGCTTGTATTGGCAATGAGACAACTATATTTTTTTAAAAGATATCATTTTACGGCCTTGAACAATGAGCAAAACTTATGGTGTGCAGTAAGTGATATAAGAACCTGGATGACAAATTGTAAAAAAATATACACCAACTTAATGCATTATGACAATTATTTAAATAAGTGGGATTCTTTAATTTAAATTAAATGTCATGTGTTAAGGTTTTGTTAGGTCAATTACATATACTTTGTTTGAAATCCCAGTTAATGAATATTTACTTATTACTTGAACGTACATTAATAAACAAAATATTGCTATTTGTCCTATAGTTTTATATATCATGTGTACAATACCTGCGCAATGATCGTTGTACCAGACCACGTGCTTAATCAAGTCCTTTTCTGATACGTCAATATCACTTACAGCAAAGAGTGCATATATCTGGAGCCCAAGTACTGTTGAATGACCTTCACTTAATGTTTGTTTTATCAATTGAATTCCAGGAAGTCCGCACGATTTGGCATTAAAGCCATCATATAATTTATGATGAACGTCTGCAAGAAATATCTTTCGAATTTCTCTGCCCTGTACCTTACATGTGTTCCATAGCCATTGTCGTCTGCTATGGGTGTCCCAGGTATGTGTAAAGCATTTCGAATGTTTATCCCAGTTCAGAAAGTCACTTTGACTACATCCGGGTATCGTTTGGTCATAACCGTCTCTCCATACATATATGGCATATCCGTTGTTCATTCCCGTCAGCAGAAAACATGAGGACTTTTGTATGAACAAAAATAGAAAGATAACACATAGAAAATTAAGCAAATTGGATTCCATAATGGCACATTAAGTTTGTGTAAGAAAGAAAATTTACCTTTATAGATAAGAATATTAACATCGCGTGACATTCGTGAAGACCTAGTCGGAAATTTACTTAATATATTGTATCCTGTTTTGAATTGCGAAGGAAGTGATTTTGTGTAAATCATAGCGAATATATAAAAATAGGGAAAATCATTGTTTATTATTAATCAACGATTTAAACCTAGTTAACAGGTAGTTAACTTTTGAAGACATGATTTATTTTAATTCATTCAAGTTATGCATTCAATATCTTCCCTTCGACTGGCAAGAGAGGCCTCAAATGCTTAGTGTTCTTAACTACCTTTTTTTTGTACTCTACCACTATAGCCTGTCAACACTGTGTTTGTTAGTTCGAATCCCGCACATGACAATTGCGGCGCTTTCGACTCAAACTTAAGTGAATATGATTGTTAGCTAACTCCAGCTTCCTCCAGCCTCACCACTTCAAAAGCTGACTGCCACAAAATAGCCAATAGTGCTGAAGTGTCGTTAAACATCTCTCAATTAATCAATCAATCAACAGCTAAAATACATTATCTATTTAAGGCTTAAGATTTATCGTATTTATGATTTATTTTTTTCATTTGAAGAATATGCCATGGTGCTGATTGCAGATCTTTGATTGATTACGTTTAATATTCTTTAAACAAACTTTTTAGGACTTCGGAATATTTTTTGCCTGACCTATTTTTTACTATAAAAGCTGGGCAATTGTCTCGTTAACATTTACCATATATCGTTAAGTTTAATCTAGCGATTAATTTCATTTTAGAGGAATCAATTCAATAACGCTGAGAAAAATGTTCTGGTAACTTAGAATTTAACAAAAAAATGTTTGGTTTGAATTTGGTTGGTTTTTATTAATATGAAATAGTACAATTCTATGAAATAGTGATTAATGTCAGTTAATCTTTATAATTTTGCAAATAAATGAATAAAACCTTAATAAATGAATAAAATATTCACCTTTTAATGAATGTAAAACAAATTAAATCTAGGGTGGTTCCTTATATAGTTTTGAAATCAGCATAAGTATGTATATCTGTCTTAAACTGACGAAAATCGACCGTAATGAAGATAGAGACAAAACGTTGATTTTAACAATGCATTTTCTCAATATTTGTAAAACAGCTAATGTACCGCCTATCTATACAAGCAGGTACAAAAACACTATACAATATAGATCAGCTAAAATAGTGTTACTTGTTGTTGATTCAAAAACGGCTTGAAGAAACAATATCTATACGCATCAAACAAAGCTAAAATTTGACAGAAAAAAACAAGCCGAAACTACTTAATAAATAAATGTTCATTAGTTTACGCTTACATATATCAATCTTCTTTGCATGTAAAATGTACCTATAAAAATGGTATATATATTAATAAATAGAAACTATCAATTATTTGTGTTACACATCGTTGATAGTTTCTATTTGATAATTTACCACCTTTACATATTTCAGACATATTCATACAAACTGTATGATATCCTCTTGTTTTATGTGTCGTTGGATTGTTGTCTCATTGATGTATATCCCCACATTTTCTTGTATTAACCAATACATATCTGTAAGAACTTACGTGTTTATTTCCTGATCAATTTGACCGTTTTATTTTTAATCCTGGTGTACAGGTAAAATGATGTCAACAAAGTGTAACTTTTTAAAATTAGTGTGGATAAACAAAACTGTTTGATAGTATTAACTTACATAGTAAATTTTGTAACCGAGGTACTTAGTACTTAACAGTTTGACGTAAATAAAACTAGCGTTTTTAGGGTAAGCAATGAAAACATTAGATGGCTGATAAAAAAGAAAGATACTTTTTTATTTATAATGATTAAATCTTAAAATAGGAATTTGTATTTCAGTAGAGGTTACTCTGAAAATTGAACAACTTAGTGTTACGTTACAAGAGCGGTAACTCCAATATTCCTATTCGTTTCTTTCCTTTTCCTGAAAATATTATACACGAAGTTATATATCCTCATATATAGATAAAATCAAATAAAATATAAAGTTAAAAAAAGTCAGTATTTTTGTTTTTAAATTAGGAAAAGTTTTACAGAGTCACAGGCATGATTCTAGAAAACCTACATTGCCTGATTCCTGACCTACGTGTTATATATGTCGCTGGACGTGTGGAGAGATTCTTACAAAACCATAGCTAATCAGATCTTTACAAAACCATAGCTAATCAGATTCTTACAAAACCATAGCTAATCAGACATGTTATGAGATCATCCCAGTTTTTGGTGGGGTTCGTGTTGCTTAGTCTTTAGTTTTCTATGTTGTGTCATCTTTACTATTATTTGTCTATTTGTCTATTTATTTTTGGCCAAGGCGTTGTCAGTTTGTTTTCGATCTATGAGTTTGACTGTCCCCCTGGTATCTTTCGTCCCTCTTTTAGAAAAGCACAAGTATGCCGACATTGATTGTGATTTCCAATATCCTTTTTTTTCGTTTTTTTATTTGTACACATGCTTTATGTCTGAAAGATAATTGATAATATTTCCAATAAGAAAAAAGAAACATTGGCGAAAAGGCGCTAAAGTTATTTTCAAAGGGGGAATCTCTACAAAAGTTACTTAAAAGTAAATCACAAAAGTACTGAACTCGGCGGAATGAAAAGAAGTTAGCAATATTCTTATAACATTATTTTTCCGCTTTATAGATGATTCTCTCTCATTAAATAATTCAACATGTGAGAGCTATGTTAATTGCATTCATCCCATGTAACTTGAGATAACGGATACAACAGATACAGTTAAGTCTGTCTCATATCAAGAATTGCATCTAGAAATTGACAATGATGGTTGAAAACAAAACTTTAAGATAATAGAGATGAATTCAGCCTCTAAATTGTGAATTTTTCATTTTTATGTAGCAACATTCCAGCAGGTCTTGCATACGGACTGTGTAGGTCACAACTAATACGATATTTCAGGCCTATTTTTTATACCATGATTTCCTTAACAGAGTTGTCGCTCACTAGGAAACTATTTGACTAAATGTTTCTAGCAGTCTAGTTGAAATCTTCCATTCGTTGGTTGTGCGAACGCAATTGCAAGTGGAATAACCGTTATAGAGTATCCGTATTGCATATGACAACGGATATGTTCCAATCGGGGTAGATACAATCCGGCCACTTTTCCCCGAATATGCGAGACTGTTATACAAGTCAGACGTTTAGCTAGCTATTAAAAACCAGGTTTAATCCGGCATTTTCTCATAACAAAATGTCTGTACCAAGTCAGGAATATGACAGTTGTTTCCCCATTTGTTTGATGTGTTTGTGCTTTAACTTTAGCCATTTGATATTGACCCTCCGTTTTAAATCTTCCTTGGAGTTTTATGATGTTGTTATTTAACTATTTATTTTGTGTATGTTCCTTTTTCCCCGAATGTGAATTACCGAATTATACTTATCATCGGGTTTGTACTAACATGAGTAACATGATATGTGGAGCAGGATCTGTTTACCATTCAGAGCACCTGAGATCACCCACAGTTTTTTGTGCGGTATGTGTTGTGCAGTCTTTGGTGTTTTATGTTTTGTTCTGCGTAGTGTTGTTTATCTTTTTGTCGTTTACTTTTTTAGCTCTGGCATTTTATATTCAACTTATAAGTTTGAATTTCCTTTTTGGTATCCGTCGCCTCTTTTTCAAGCAGGCTTTAAGTGTTGTTCATTGTTACAATAAAAATCAGCCTGTCATGAAGTTACATATTTTGTATATAATGTTATTATAGTTTGAGTTTGTATTACTTTTAAAAATTGGGACTGGTAAGCGCAACCTTAGCAGCTTTTTGCAAATGGCCATTGTTATATTATAGTTCGTTCCTGTGTGTGTTACATTTTAATTAATGTTGTGTTTTTGTTGTGTCGTTGTTCTCCTCTTATATTTGATGCGTTTCCCTCAGTTTTAGTTTGTAACCCGGATTTGGTTTTATCTCTATCGTTTTATGAGTTTCGAACAGCGGTATACTACTGTTGCCTTTATTTGGCAAAACCTTTCGGAATCTAAGTTCACTGCTCTTCCACTACGTATTGTATTCGCCTTTTTTCAATTTTTTGATACTAGAAGCACAGCTGGGTGTTTTGTAGTGGAAACACAAATCTGGCGTACAAACGTTTAATCTCGGTATCTTTGATTCAGTTATCAGGATATTTTGTTTCATACTTGTTATATTTCTGTAATTATTACAACCGATTTCTATGACTGATGGAGACACCTTAGAAAACATGGCATGATTGACATACACCTATGTACCTAATACTGCAACTATACGTGTGATACGTGTACTATAATCAACGTGAATGTGAATATTCAATATAATATATAAAAAAGACGATTGATAAACAAATGAATCAACATAATTCAAAACAACAAAGTTAATACAATGCAAGAACATTTCCGTAGACTTATTTACACATTTTGCACTTATTATTGATTTTAGACCCTTCGATTCCCGACGCCATTAACATTAAACATAGGCATATCATATGGGTGGTAGAATTAAATACTATCAAACGATATCTTCAATACAATACCGTAAATTGGGAAATTTTGGCGTCGGGATATTTTCGCGGTTTTTCACTCAAAAGGCATGTGTTTTACAACAATGATACAACAATGATACAACAATGATTACAAAAGTTTTAGTTCACCGATAGTCAAAACATAAATGTTTCTTTCACATTTTACTTGAACAGAAATCAATACCGTATATCCAGAAATGTTCGAATGCGTTCAGTATATGTAAGAGAATGAGAATCCCTTTCTTCATGATTAAGATCATTCATTGATGAGCGTTCAACTTAGAGTATTGTGCTCAAGGCTTAAATGATCTCTTGCTTAGTTGTATTTAAGAATCAGTTTCATTGTCAGTGTAAGTTATAGGTTCATAATTGATGCATGACTTCATTTTTCAACATTTCATTTATTGGGTAGTTTGAGTGATGTAACTTTCTTATAATTTGGGAAATATTTAAAAAAAAAAATGCGTTATATGAATTAGGTGACACAACAGTACAAAGAAAAGGTAGGAATTGTCTAATGAGGCTTATGTAGACGAAACGCGCGTCCGGCGTATCAAATTATAAGCCTGGTACCTTTGATAACTATATGGGTTTCCAGATTAAGAGTATAACTGTTAATCATGTAATATTTTAGCGAAGAAATATCCTTTTTTATTTACAGTTTAAATCAATACAAATAATTTTATTTCACAGCCAATATTTTGGTTCAGACTTTTTTAATCAAAAACCGTTTCGTTATATGTCAGGGAAATATTCTAATAAAAAGTCTTCAAGAGTTTTAAATAAATATATTGAAAATAGAATTTTCATTCAAATTCCTGTTGTTTCTGTTTTTATTTTATCGGAATATTCATATATTGGAAATTACTATTCTTCCAAACCTCTAGTTCAGTATTCTTTTTTACTTTTTTTCTTTTTTTTTTTTGCATTGCTTTGATATTGTTTAATTTTTAAGTAATTTGAAGATATTAATATTTTCAAAACATTAAAGGTACACATTTTACTGCACCAGTAAACTTCAACTTAATTAAAAACAAATTGTTCAGAGAACAATTAAAGGTCTTTCCATAGCAATTTTTAAATTTATTGAAAAGAAGTTAGTTCGTGTTTACTCAAAGTTAAAATTGGCATCATATCATCAGTTTTTTCATACTGATGTGATAAATAAGTGGTTTCTATATACTTTTGAGTGGAATAAGGGTCTAATTAGCTACTTCTTGTGAAGTAAATGTCACTTCCGGTCTTATATGATAGCATCTTTCACACTGATTC